GAGTAAAGGGGCGGCCTTAGCCAGCAAACACCCGGCCTTCAGCCTTGGAGCTGATGGCCGTGCACCCAGCCCGCCCCAAGATCTCTCAGTGGGGGCATTTTGGCAGGTTCTGCTAAAAAAAAAAACCCTCCTCACTGCCCACCTGAGGGTTCCTGAGCTTACGTAAAGCGATGTGCTGCCCGTCCCCCCTCTGTGTGTGTATGTGCCCGGGTAAGCTTGTGCTGTCTGCAGAGAAACAGGAATACTGAAATGGAAAGGCCCATGGGGCAGGTCTAGTGTTGTCAGTGCTGGTTTGTCCAAACTGCTCCCCAAACCATCCCCTCCGCACCCTGGCACAAAATACTTAATGCCCTTAAGATCTCCAGCGCAAATTATTGATGCGACTGTTTCTGCCTGGGGCTGGGGCTCGGTACTGGTCCCAGTGCAAGTGTGGGCTGGGGATTAGGGTGGGGGAGTGAATCTGCGGAAATGTGAGCCCTTAAGATGGGTGTGAGAAAGTCCTGGGGCAAAAGCAGGGCACCCCACCTCCTGCCCCGGGGTGAGGTGTGGGTCTCCCCCGGCTCTGCGGCGTGGCCGAGGGTCGGGTCGGGGTTTGCCGTTGCCATCTGCAATGGCTCTGTCAGATGGCTCTGTGCTGGCACGGATGCTGCTGAGTTATGCAACCAGCCTGTGCCCTCCGGGGAAAATTCATCCTGCGCAGATCTGCAGAATAGTACATGCAGGGATAACAAACACTGAGGGGACAGTCCTGCCCTGGGGCTGTTTGCTTAAAATCCAGCTGCCTTCTGCACCCCACCCCCCCGCCATGACCTCCATCTGTGGCCAGAGCCAGCCGTGAGTCTGCACGGATCAGCTCCATCGGATCGGCTCCATCGGATCGGCTCAGCTCCATCGGTGACACAGCTGCAGCAGAGATGGATGCACTTACATAATGCAACCCAGCATACGTGGCCCCAGAGCAGAGCCCGGCGCCAGCCCCGTGTTCCCCGCAAACCCGGAGCGTTGTGCTGGGGGGAGCGTTCCCCTGGCTTGTTCACGGGGCAGCGAAATATTTGGTGTGCTTTTCCTGTAGGGTTTTTTCTAATGCATTGTGTATTTGTGCGTTCAAATCAGCCTACCTCTGGCTGTCAGCGAATGCAAATCTTAAATCGGGAACCCGCTTGAGAAGCTTAAAATGGGATTTAGAGCAGGGCCTGAATTCTGCTCTCAGGTAGTTTTAAGTTGACCGAGAAACTAAAGTAACATCTTCCAACTTAATCGTGGTGCTGGTGCGTAGCTTATGGTGCTGCTGGGTCATGCAGGGAGTTCTTCTCCAGGACAGCTTCAGACCCTGCTTAGCCTTGGTTCATGCCATAACCTGGAAAACCGTAACCCTCCCTGACCCAGGGAATCAGATTTTTGCTTATGCCTTGGTATGTCACTGACCTCATCCGATTTTGCTTCATGTCCCAGCAGCTTTGCCTTTAGTTCTGCTACGGATGCTGCACGCACCTGCAAGTCGGCAGGCTTTATGCTCTGTTAGGCATCCAAAATGCAGATAATTAGATGTCAGTTCTCAGCCAGGAAAGTGTTTCTGGCTTGGTTTCTGCTGGAGATGAGCCTGCCTGTCTCCTTGCTCCCCTCACCAGCACTGCTGGTGGCCCCAGGGCAGTAGGTCCAGCCGAGGTGGGCAGCGTTTCCCTGGGCAAAACAAAGGTCTTATCTATCTTATGTGAACAACGGTGCTTCCCAACCTTTTGCAGGAGTTTCTCCAAAGATCCCCGTTCCCAAAAGCCTTTCTGGTGCAAAGAGGGAGTGGCTGGATTGTGCTGGGTACCTGCTAATCCTATTGCTGTGTGATAGCCCAGCACTGCGACTGCACCCCAGGCCAAGGAGCGTGTCACCCCTCCTTGTCCTTACTGCAAGGTCGGGGCTGTTCTCTCTCCTCCTTTCCTGCAACGTGAGCATCTTTCTCTTTGCGTGTCTTTTTTTTTTTTTTTTTTTTTTTTTCTTTTGTAGCTGCCCTCCGAGTTCCCCAGGGCAGGCGAGGGGCCTCCCCCAGACGCTGCTTTGCTGGGACCCTCTAACGTTGTGGGGTAGTGCGGTGGGGACCGAGCAACCCATAGACAAATTCCTGAGGAGCAAGGCGCAGTGAGAGCTGAGAGCTCGTGGCTGTTTGCCTCTCGCTGGAGCGGCACCAGTGGTCTTGGCCACAGAAACAAGGGGAGCAAGTGGCAGCATCGCCCACCACCTACAGTTACACATTTAAGAAACTTTGTAGTTTTAATTCACGTTCAAGCTGCAGTGGCTGCGATCGGTGTAGAAGGCAGCTTGTTCTGGTGGATCGTATCGCGTGGTATTTTCACTGTGGAGAAGAGAGCAGGTCTGAATTTTGGGGTGGATGCTCAAGGTGAATGGCAGGAATCTGTGCAGGTGGTGTGGTGCAGACTGCAGCTTCTTGGGGGCCGGGAGGTGTCTGAGAGCTGAGGCCAGCCTGGTTCACTCCAGCACTCCTCCTCCTCCTCTGGCACTGGTTTTGATCATTCCAGTTTCAGCTGAAAGCAACAGAACTGTTTGCATTTGCAGTTCTCCTCTTTGCATTTTCAAAATGCAACAGGAGCCGATGCTGAGCAAGCTCATCTGCTCTCCCTGCATGGTGGTGCCTGTCCCTGGTGAGAGCTCTCTGGTGCTGTGCCCAGCTGCTCCTGAGCACCGCTAATAAGCTGCTGCCCTGCCGAATCTCAGACCTCAGACCGCAGGGATCGGACGCACAGCAGCAGCATCTCTGCGGGCCCTCAGGGAGCAGGGCTGGTGCATCAAGTTAGGTCTTGTCTGGTAGCACTGCACAACTCAAACTTTACCGTGTGGTACAAGTGCCCTTCCCTGGCCGGCTACAGGTGAGCAAGCCAAGGAAAAGGATAGCGGTTTCATTTCTGAAACTATACTGGTTTTGCCTTCTGACTGTTTTCAGTGTGGTTTTTGAATCCCGGTGTGGATAAAAGCCATGGGACAGTAAAAGCAAGGTCAGTTCCTCCTCTTGGCCGTAGGAGCGGGTGCAGCATCACAGGGCCACCCCGTGGAGTGGGGGCAGCTTTCTGGGGAGAAACGAAGCCCCAAGGAGGAACTGGGTCCCGTCACCTCTGGCCAGATGTGTTAGTGTTTGCGTTTGCTCACCGACACCCCCGTGCTCCCTCCTGGGGGAGGCTGCTGTGGTTGGATGTAAGGAAGCTCCCAAGGAGTGCACCACAAATGCACGTACAGAGCATGAGGAAGGGCTTAGGAGGCAGAGCCAGGCTCTCAGCCCCCTTCCCTCGTACCCTGTGTTCCCACGCAGGGGTGGATAATGTGATTAACGCGAGAGGGTGCTGGGTTTTCTCTCCCTCCCCTGCGCTGAGTCCTCCGATACCACGCAGTCCTCATTGCCACCTCCCATCTCTGCCATGACCCACGCGTTAGTGTCATCTTCCTTAGGTGCTGGATGAGGACTCCATGGGCTGCTGGTTCATATCCTGCTGATGCCGAATGAATGTTTGAGCTGATTAAAACTATAAGTGGCATCAGTGGAGGGATTAAAAGCTCTTGAACAAGCCCCTGAAACAACGTGCGTCAATGGAGTGAGCTCTCCTGTCTCAGAGCTGTGAGCTCGGGGCTGCTCAGGCAGGCGCCTTCCCTGAAAACGCTCCTGCTCCAAGGGAAGCAGGAACAGAAGTGCTGCCCTACTTGCTAATGAAGCTGCACCACAGGAGAAATCTTCCAGAAGATTCCTCGCACCATCATCCCTGACTTGGTGCCCGGGTGCCTCTCGCCAGCCTGCCTTCTCAACCAGAAAGGCTTTTTTCCTGATTGCAGCCTGCAAAGGCGGCGTCTCCTGGTTAACCTCTCCCGAAAAGCAGCGTCCCTGTGGCCCTGGCTTCTGCTCCCAGCAGCGCAGGAAGCCTCTTCCTCTAGAAATGTGTTACGGATTTCTTTAATGAGATTTCCTAGGGCTAAGGGATTTAAATAATTTGCTGGGCAGTGGCAGTTCTCCTTCAGCGGGTCTGTCCCGCTGCTCTGTGCTCGGTGTCTGCAGAGCCCCTTGCTCGTTTCTGGAGGGAGAGGACCCGTCCCTGCTGACGGGGGGGAGCCAAGTCCAACCCCCCCCCAATTTTTTTCTACGTAACTCTGAGCTCAGAGCTCAAATTTGGGGAAAAATTAAACTGCTGTTAACTCCTGGAAAATTACCACCCGTGCATAGCATGAGAGGTGATGAAGTGAAGTGGGACCCTCCCCTTGGGCTGGAGGTTTGCATGTGTTTGTGACCTCAGCCCTGTCCCCTGCTGCAGGAAGCCCTGGAGGAGCCAGTGGGCAGAGCTGACAGCAGTGGGGAGACCCCCAGGTCCCCCCATCGGGCAGGCAGGTGCCAGCTTTCATCAAACCAGCACGACCCCCAGCCTCAGCTCTGCTGGTCCCTCCTCTGAAGGCTGTGACATCCTGAACAATGCATTTCCAATACAGAAGCGACGTCGTGTGCATTGTGTTCCTCTGCTGGGTCCAAACTTGCTGCTGGATGGGATGTCCACGGGGAATTTACTGGGTTGTGAACAAGCTGGGTGGAAAACACTGGTGGCTTATGTGCAGAGTTGAGCGTTTCTGCATCCCCGAGCTTGGAGGACAGGGAGGGTGCGGTGCCAGGGCTGTGGAGGAATGGGTGCAGCACCCTTGGTGCTACAGGAGCTGTGGGGCATGCTGTGTGCTGGGGCTTTGGCCAGAGCAGGGACCCGTGCAGCAAAGACCTGCCCGTTCTTCCTGAAAATCCCTGGCGCCAAGCGTCCTCGTGGGCTGTTGCAAGCACAGCAGAGCTGAGCTGCGAACCCATCCTGCTCTGCTTCAGTTGCACTGAAATGGATTTTGACCACCTCTTGCAGAGCCACTTCAGAAGCCCGAGCTGCTGCTGACGCACAGGGCGAGCGGTGCAGGGCGTCCCTGGTGTCACAGCTTGTTCCACTTTTCCCAGGGTGTACAGATGCAGACGACCGGGAGCCAGCGCTCGTGGGGGTGTCACGTGGACCCTCAAGGCCAGGCTCTGCTGTGATAATGCTCGTCCTTGTTCCAGCTGGGCTGTCACCGCAGCGAGCCCTGTGGGATGGGGCTGGGTTACCGGCGTGTGGGGTGATGCTCAGCCCCCAGCTGATCCATCCCAGCTCAGCCCACGTGCTGGGGCAGCTGGGTGCGTACTGGCCTTGGCACCGCGCCGTGCAGGGCTGCTTGTGTTGCTCCTGGGAAAGAAATGACTGTAAACCCAGTCCAGACCCGCAGCGCCTGGACCAGTGATGAAACCACTGCCAAGCAGAGAGACGCAGCAATGCTCATCTTGGGCTAACTGGGACCAGGGGGAAGGCTGTGGGAGTGAGCTCCATCTCCGCAGCAGCGTCCCCCAGCCCCTCCATCCAGCAGCCAAATGGCTCTGGCACCGATCGGTGACCGTTGCACCTTCCACCGGTGCAGTTTGTAGGCGCTGCTGTTCGCAGTCCTTGGTTGGGGCCGTGTAATGAGAAGGCGTGCGCTCAGCTCGAGGTCTCCCAGACCCTCAAATGATGCTTTAATTAAGGCTTGGGAATGAAAGCAGAGGTGCAGCAAGCTCGCTGAACCAGCAATCCTGCTCGCTTTACCAACCTGCAGCCTGCGTCGGGTGGGAGCGGGAGGGCTGGCAGGAGATTGTTGCAAACTGGGACAAACCCGCTGACGTACCTGACCTCTCTCTCTCCTTTCTTGTTTTTCTTGCAGGTTTATTTACCAGGGACCCATAATCTCCATTATTTACATTCAACGAGGGAAGTCAAAGATAAGGGAAGGTGATGATACCGAAGATCCCTGGTCTGCAGGATCTCTGGCAATGTGAAATCTTTGGGTTTTTCTTTGTTTTGTTGGGAAGGGGTGTTCTGGGGGTGCGGGAGGGGGCTGCAGCGGCCTGGAGAAGAGCGCAAGCTGGCAGCTATCATGCTCATGAGACTTCTAAACAAGATCCAGAGAGCAGAGCTGCCCCTGCCCAGCCCTCCCCGTGTCTCCTGTGCTGCCACAGACTCAGTAGGTGTTTTTAGAGAAGATCTGGTTCCACAAGGAGGTGGGAATCGGCAGCTCGGCAACTTTGGGTTTAAAGCTATCGCTTTTGCCTAGGGGAAACGGGAGCAAAGTGATTGCTAGGTTTGTACCGGGAGTGCAGTGCTTTAGACAAAGTGAGCCTCTGGGACCACGTGTTGCAAGCAGCGAAGTAATTTCATAGCCAGGCAGGTTCTGAATAGGTGGGTGCTGCCCAGGCTGTGAGCAGCTGACGTTAGGACAGAGAAGCATAAACAAGCTGGAAAGCCTTTTGGCAAGGTGGGGCTGCTGCAGCGACGGGCAGACCTTCGTGCTCCCTGAGCTGGGTTTCATCGGCGGCGTCTGTGACGGCCCTTCCGCACGGAGGGCAGCGGGGAGCCCGTGGGCACGCTTCCAGGTGGGCACGCTTCCAGGTGGGCACGCTTCTGGGTGGGCATCGTCTGTGTACAAGAGAAACAGAAAGCAGTCTGCTACTCCGATCCGTTTAACGCCAACCTTCACTTGGTGGGAACAAAACCTGGGAGAGGAGGAGGTTTGGCCTAAATGGCTCACGGGCTGGATCCTCGCCTCCGGCGAAACACTTTTCCCTGCTAGATAACTATGTCCAGGAAGCAAAAGGCAATGCTGCTGTTTGGGTTTGGTTTCAGGACAGTACAGCTCAGGTAAGGAGATTGGAACCTCAGGCTGAGCAGTTAATACTCTATTTCCTTGCCTATATATAGAGCAACACTAATATTCCGGGGCTGACCCCATGTTGATGGTCTTTAGACTTTGCTCACTGTAAATGCGATGTAAAGCACCACCTCTTCTCCACCCCGTGGGTTCTGAACCAACTAAACCCTTTCTCACCAGGCTAAATCGCCCGGCAGCGGTTTGGGGGGCAGGCTGGTCTGACCCAGCATCGCTCCCGAGCTGCTCAGCCCTTACCGCAGCCAGAGCTGGCCAGGGTCACCGGCAGAAGAGGGTCCCCCTGGTGACCCCCTCGTCCTGGGCTCTGGGAACTGCCCCTGGCCTGCGTGCAGGCTGCAGCTTTCCTGTGTCATCCCTGGAAGGTTCCTGAACTGGCAGCACCTCCTTGTATCTCCTCGTGTACTCTGCTGACCTTGTGGGAATGAATGGGAATGCAGTCAGTGCTTGTGGCCAAGGCAGAGCTGAAGCAGGGAAAGGAGGGAGAGGTTTCTTTTTTTTTCTCTTCCATCTATTCCAGGACACAAAGCTAAGGCTGTCGCTGCAGGAAGGCCAGGTCCCGCTTAGGCAGACGATGCCAGGAGGCTCCAGACCGTGTGTCTGTGACTCGTGAAGGTTTGCACAGCACAAATTCGGCGCCAAGCCCCCGTTCCCACGCTGCCCTTCTGTTTGTTCCTAGAGATGCTTCTGCAGGCCGAGGCCAGCCACAGCCGGACCGTGGCTGTACAGACTCCCTCCAGGCTGGCCACGGGGGTTTGGGCAGTTTGGGGTTGGTTAGCAGGTGCTGTGCTCGGTGCAGAGCGCTCTTGGGGGCTTTGAACGGCGCTTTGGCTGCTCTCGTTTCTCTCCGACAAGGAGCAGGTCCCTGCAGCGGCCGTGCCGGGGAGCTGCAGGCGGGTTTCTCCCCCAGCTCCCGGGGAGGGCTCGCAGAGCCTGGCGTCCCGCAGGAGGGCTGCGGTGAGACGAGAGCTGAACCCTGTAGTTCACAAGTACAGCGTTAGTGCCCTGATCACTGGACTGTCCTTCCTCTGCCTGGCAGAGCCTTTGCTCCTGACTCTTGTAGCTGTTAGAACCTCACCCTGGCTTGAACGGGTGCGGGAAGAGGGCTCTGCCCTCCCAGCCCTGCTCACCTGGCTTTCCCTGCTGGAAGGGCCCCTCGCCGGGCGTTACGCCCCGGGAGAAGGGAGCTTCCTAGCAGGGGATTTCCATCTGTGGAAACCAAGCCCAAAACAGAGGACGTGGAGGTGGAAGGTGGTGAGTGGGCTGCTCGGCGGGGCTGCTGCCTCCAGCCAGCTGCCCGCACCCTGCTCCGCTCTGGGGACAGGATTGGGCCTGGCAGGGTCACCCCTCACAGTCCGTTGCTGTTTCAGGCCATCTCTTCAAGCCACACGTCTCCACCTCAGCTTTTGCATTGCAAATGTGTTTTCAAAGCAGCTTGATGTTAGTGAGCTAGACCGTAGTGCCTTACGTAGGATTTAGCAAACACTTCCAAGGACGAGACCTCGGGCTGCTAGCCTTTGGCCAGTGTGGATGGCTCCTGGATTAGTTTGTCCTTTTAAGAGCTTTTTGATTTTGCTGCTGTTTGTGTTCCACTCCCCAGACTATATGGGAACCTGCCTTGTGTTTACAGCTCCTAGCATCTCTCCTCCCAGTTACTTTGGCCCAGACCAGTGCTCCCTCTCAACAAGGTGGGAATGGGGAACAAAAAAAACCTGTTGGGATGGGGGATGTTTAGGCTTTTCTTCCCAGCTGGGTCTATCAGGCATCTCCCGCCGGCCGATCTCCCCACGCCATAGGTGTTTTTGGCATCAAGATGTGCCGCTGGGAAAACTCGAGCTTAGGAAAGCAGCACCGAGCCTGCAGCCCATTGCCCAGCCCGGGGCCAGGTTGTCTCCATCTCCTCCTGGCCGCAGCAAAGCTGAGCATCCATGAAACTGTTTACTTCTGACTCTGCTGTTTACAAGAGGGATGTGGGGTGGGTGGGGGGAACAAGCCAAGCCTCAGGAGGATTGGGAAACGCGTTATCTGCACCAGCCTGCAGCAAGGCCGGCACCGCCAGCATCGTGCAGGTGTCGTGGGGCTCTCCCCGCCACCTTTGGTCCGTGGGGAGGAGAGAGCAGCGGTGGCTCTAGCCTAGAGGGGTTAGATTAGCTCCCCCTTGTCCCCTTGCTGCTGTGTTTGAGGTTCAGCGGCGCTAGTGACAGATAAGAGTTACCCCTGTGGTCTTCCTTTACTCCTCAGGACCCAGCTCCTTCACATATCAGAGGCTCCCAGAGCCTTCCTGGAGCAATAAGACTTAAAACAAGCATTACCATCGTTGTGGAAATCCTCCGTTGTGTGCGTCGTACGTCTCCTCCGTATGCAGTACCGAGTCTGGGTTTAAGCCTGCCAAGCGTCACGGGGCGGCTGCTTCAGGGCACGAACGGGGACGCGTTTCCCTGTGCTTTCTGCAGGTCACGAGAGCAAGGAACCGCGTTGCTGCTTTCCTTCGTTACCCCCAGGCATGTCCTGCCCAAGCCTCACACTACAGCTGCCCGGGGCCAGGGGGGCTCCTGATCCCGTTTCGGGGACGCTGCTGCAGGATGGGTGCACGGTGCTCAGCCCCGCACCGGCTCGGCCGTGCCACAGGGGCAGGCTGGGCCCTTCACCTCTGCTCCTCGCAGCCTCCCATCCCTTCG